ATAGAGACTTATTAGCTATATGATTAGAAACAATAGCATTAGATGAGGACGAAACGTTAGAACATACTGAATTTAATCGTACAAGATACTGAAGTTATCTGACCAAACAAAATCAAGTTAATTCAAATCATGGTGGTTTGTGAGATAACATACACTGTGAAATTGATGCTTACCAAACTGAACATGGCAGTTGATCTCACCCATGACTGTTAGCACAACTCCAGAAGCATTCTTAGCGATAAGCTCTATTGGAAGAATCTGTGGGTACCCAACTGATACAGAAAATTAAGTTAATATTTGACGATTGAAGACGAACAGGTTTATCGTTAATAGGCAGCTAAACATACGTCCGTCTGCTGGCAAAATCGACTTTGAACGTTGTGTAAATGGTCTGTACCCGAGAGGATTGTCTCTCCTTGAAGGGACTATGTTTGTTTCTTGTATATTTCCAAACCTGTACGTCGGTGGCACAGCGGTAGGACGCACGCCGACCCCGCATTTGGTCCGGGGTTCGATCCCTGGCCGACACACTCCTTTACCTCGTCAAGCCAGTGGTAAAACTGGTAAAGAGGGAAGGTTGGGCATCGTGTTAGCAACCCCATCCCGTAAAAGTAAACATCACTGCTACCGAAACTTCAAGCCTGTAGCCTGAAGCTCTATGTTCGACTGGGAACATAAAGAAATTTTTAAAAAAATTGTCCAAACCAAGTTCACTTTTAACAATTAGGACAAATTGGGGTATTGGCTGTATGATATTCATTATTATCAAAGATTTTGTATTTCCCAATGAATGAAAAACAATGAAGTATAAACAGTTTTTGTTTTTCATTCATTAGGATATGCAAAATCTTTTATTGTTATGTTTTTCTTAATAGAAGGGTTTTTCTCTGTTGAACAGTGACCCTGTTTATGCCGAAAACGGTGACACTTGCAGCATTTATGTTTCTTGAATAGACAAAATCTGACAAAATGTCATGAACAGTAGTATCAGCACACTTATGGAGGCTTAGTGGAATTTTCAGACTGACGTTCTGCGTGCTTAACGGTGGCCGAAGTCTTGACTGCGTTAACTGGGCCAAATTCAGACGGCTGTGATTTGCGCCCCACCATACCATAGTAGTGTCATGCTTCAATTCGATTAAACGTTGGCATTCTCCGGTCACCATCTGTAAAGTCATTTTCGGATCCTCTTACAGTTTGTCAACTCATGCATCTTACCTATTCTTCTCTACTGTTCACTTCTGCTTGTTCTTTCCTGGATTGCTTAAAAGGGACTATGTTATACTTCGTAGAACTCTGAAGACTGTCAGTAGGGCGAGTGGTATCCCATTGGGCCATATCGTTGACATCGTCATTGATAGGCACTTGATTTGATGCAACAAATTCGCTAAATGAATTCAGTCAGACTCTGAGCACCCACTCTACCCGCAGCTCCAACCTTGTGTCTCCTCAGGTAAAACAAGAAGTCTTTTCAGAAGAATTTATGCACGTACGTCTAAGTATAAAAATTCCACTATACCATATTTGGCACGGACTTTATGTGATGAAAATATTGCTAGGCATGGACTAACTAACCTTCTTCGTACTAGTAAATCAACCATATTCTCCACCCTTATAACATCAACCTTTATTGTTATTCTACCTCTTATATATAATCCTCGCAGTTTTTTGTTTTTATTTGTTTATTTTCTCAAAAGTGTAAACATCATTTAAGCTGTGTTATGACTGTTAATTTTGCCTTTCCCTTCACTACACTATATCAACAGAACATTAGATTCAATAATCTATAACATGCTAAAATTTTCAAACTGAATCGCCAATACTGTTTGGAACAAACTCACTGTTATTATTATTATATTTAATATTCGCAATTCGTACCCCGAATATTTTTGAGTTTATATCGTAAATGTGGACAAATTCTTCTGGTTAATTTTGTTTTAATTTTTAATTACATTTTCTGAGTAAATCAGATGCAATATTGTGACAAATGCTCAGAATTCCATTCTGTGTATTATAAGTACTGTTTTTGGAATAAAGTAGACAACAGGAGTCGAGTTAGAATGTCAGCATCTTTAAGGCTCTTCAAACCACAAATAAAAAAACAAGCACTTGAACTGGTCTGATGTCATCTCGTGTGATTTGTATTTTTCACATTGCATGTTCACTTTGCTAGGATAAGTGACATAATCGTCGGAATATACTTTTGGTAACTGAAGACATTAGTACACTCAATTCTGAACATGGATGATTGTTCACCAAACACTTCTGAGATAAAATGGTGACTGTGTCATCGAATGAGACAGTTCACGTGAATTCTTTGGCAGAATAAAATTAAAATATTTGTTGTGCTCGACAGAACCAAGTTTTCGTTAAAATAATCGAACTTTCGCAGCATCATCGAACATGGTATATATTCAATACAAAAACGCCTTTGTAACGATTGAACTGTGAATCAATTACAAGGCCAGACTGTTGGCATTAGATGGTTGGAGGCAATCGGCAGGAAGCCTCGGACCTAGGTTTCGTGCTAGTTGGCACTCATCAACAAGGCGTGTCTGCAACCTTGAAGGAACTGATGTCCCTTCTGAGATTCGAACCCGCGTCACCCAGTGCTGAAGTCAGAGACGTTACCATTTAGCTATTCAGGCTCGCGATTGACCTCCTGTAGGACTGAATTGGATATTTTGGCGAGACACCTAGCATGGTGGCCACATTGCAAGCTTGACTGATAGAATTCAGTCTGCAGCCAAGATAAGTAAGATTAGATACATTACACTAGTTACTGACTAGTGTGCAATCAAAACAATACAAGGCCAGATATTGGATAATAAATTGAACTCACTAATAGAATTTGAAATACTTTCATGCTTACTTATCTGGTTGAGATGTCGAAAAGACTTGAACTGACAGCTTCTGAGCAAAGAACATAAGAAGAGAACCGATAATAGGTGAAAAGGTTCTTGGCGAAAAGGATAAGAACGTAGAACTCTTTGCATATTTCTGTGCCATCTAATGGAGGTGGCGTGCATAAGCACAGGGATATACACTAATCGACATGGACTTCACCTGACGGACACATCCGGAACCAGATAGTCTTCATTTCAATCCTGAGAAAGGGGGGACAGTCCGCAAAACACAAAATAGAGAATGGGTGTATATATGAGCTAAAACCATTATCTAGTACGAAGCACCTTCAGAGTAAAGCTGAAAGACTACACGGCGATTAAAGATAGGTAACCCAAAAACTGACAGGAAAAACTACAAACGACAACACCACAGGGATCAGATAGAAGTCGGAGACATTACGTAGAGATATGGAGCGGACCTGTGTCAAGACACCTTGGAAGTCTCTGAAAGGAATGTTGAAGGCAACTAGTACAGCCAGCTATTTTGTAAAAGACAACAGGCAAGACAAGCACAGATGAAACCAATTAAAGTCAGCGAAGACACCTAATCACCAAAGAGTAGATACAAATTAAACAACAGACTGATCATTTCAAACGACTGTTAAGCCCAACATCACCTATAACTCGTAGAGAAATACGACCCACAACCACAGAAATGTCAGTAAACACCAATCTCTCAACAAAAGCAGACGATTCCAGTGTCATAAAATTACTAGAAGGTGGCGGGAAAAGCGGCAGAACCACACGGAATTACCCCGGAAGCACTGTAAACGGACCCAGAGACCTCAGTCACCATCCTCACGCCATTATTACAGCAAGTTTGGAAGGAAAGGTTCCTACTGATTGGAAGGAAGGCTTCATTGTCAGGTTACCAAAGAAGGGTGACATGGGACTATGCAACAACTAGTGTGGAATTATGTTCCTATACGCGCCAAGCGACTATTACGTCGCGTTATCCTGGAGAGACTGAAAGATGCTCTGCATGCAAAACTCCACCCCCGGACAAGCTGGATTCAGGAAAGGCGAATCGTACGCAGATCAAATTCAAACTCTACACATCACCATAGAACGGAGCTTAAAATGGAAGTCAAATCTCTATCCCAACCCCACCGACTTTGGAAATGCCTTCGACCGCGTCGATTGCAAAGCAGTTTGGAAACTAGTTCAATAATGCAGAGTGCCCAAATCCTCTGTTTATCGCCCTCATCCAATAGCCACATAGTAGCGCACACCTCAGGTGATCCGCAAATTGAGCGTATGAAGTGAAGAGAGGAGGAAGACAATGCTGGCTACTTTCACCGATGATATTCCTAATTTTGGTGAACTGGAATATGTGGGAGACTGTGAGCAGCGAGACTCTAGAAGATGTGGATTTGGCGGACGATTTATGTCTAACGTCACACAAGTTCGATTATTTACAGGGGAAAACCGACAAGTTGGCAGAGGAGGCTGGAAGGGAAGACATAACTTCAAGTAAACATAGCGAAGGCGGAGGTGATGAAGACAACCAACCAACAACAATAACAAGCACCAACCACTATCGACGGAAGAAATTTAAACGAGCTAACTTCTGCCACTTACTTAGGCAGCATCGTTTCAACTACAGACAGCACGGAGACTTAGCACATCACGAAAATCATTTCCAATAGCCTGATGAAGATGGAGATGTGCAGTTAAAGCTTTATGTTTCACTCGGATCCCAGGGGAATAATAAAAATCATAGTAACAACTGCAATATAATGTTTGAGTGTCGCTTATTAAATGTAACCACTTGGGTCATGTACAGGTTTGCAAAAGTCTGCTTCGGAGAAATGACTCAGTCGGGATGATGTTTCGAGATATCAAGAGAAGAACACCTTGGGAGGCACAGATTTTGCAGCTGACTCACGCCATATTTTCCACACACACACACACACACACACACACACATTCGAAGAAGTATGAATGAAATCGAACAAGTTGACAAGAGGGGCAGAGAAGACAGGAGTCTCAGGCGAATACAGAGAACGCAACCACATGGAAATATTGATGTATTTATAGTAGTGATAATGATAGTGTCATTAGAGAATATTTTATTACTATTCGGTCACTTTTGGCGTTACAAGTGCTACTTAATAGAAAAATAAAACAACAATCGATGAAACTCATCAAATTTTGAGTACAAAATGAAAGTGAATATTGTGTAAGCCAATGGAGGAAAAACTAGGAGAAAAGAAACAGAAACAATGAAATTTACATGTGATGTTAGTTAATTTCGCCACCTATCCCCAACCGCCTTTGCTTTCAACTATCAATGTGTATGCAAACAGATAAAATAAGTTTAAACTTGGATTCCAAAAATAGTGATGTATGCATGTATATAACGCTCAAGACAGTTTGATGGTTTAAGTTCTATGCATGAATTTGGAGAAGCACCCACACACACACACACACACACACACACTAACACTTGTGTGTGAAATGACATGGAATTCAAAGAGTCAACCGAAAGTGGTGTACAGAGAAAAGCGGAACAAGGAAACTAGCAAACTGGAGAGATTAAGATTAAGAAAATGTAAGAAATTATTTGGGGTAATTATTAATTGAAATGGGTTGTTGTTGTTGTTGTTGTTCTTGTTACTGTTGTCGCTTTTCGATAAAATTAGGAGGAAAAAGCAGAACAGAACAGAACAGAATATAACAATTTTTCACGAGATGTGAGTACATTTCTCGGAATTACACACCAGTAGTAGTATTCATTTATTAAGAAATTCACTTAGTGCACACATGTCAAGAGGAACAACAAGGAGATTTTAGTGCAACGAAACAGAACAAAAATGACGGAGATAAAATAATAGTAATTCAATAGTAATTCGCTCAAGTATATTAAATGGAGTAGTTATGCCGATTACTCTGTAATCAGTCAAGTGAGCAGGTGAACAAGACACCTGTGTGTGTGTGTGTATGTGTGTGTGATCAGATTGCGATGAATCCACAGAGCTAACCGATGAATTTATTAAGAAGTCAATGTTCAACGGCCAAATGTGTTTAACAAAGGCAACAGAATAAGTAAACACACACACACACACAAAGATATATCTATGTACAAAACTAAGATCTATTCAGGAATCCACTCAAACAAACAAAAATAGCATTGATTCCATTGAATTCAATCTAAGCAATTGTTATAAGTGGCATAGAATGTTGTTCCTTTTGTTGTTTCGGTTGTTGTTGCTGTTGCTGTTGTTGTTCTGGAGGTGGCGGTGGTTGTTGACCTTCAAATGTTGCGGTTGACGACGACGACGATGATGATAAAGATGACGTATTCTCACCAATTTCATTATCACAATTAGTCACATTAACAACTGAATTGGTCAACTGTTTCCCATTACCAGATATTGATTTTATTGTATTCTGTAGTAGCACTGCCTTATCATCATTATCAGGATTCTTTGCTCCACCATCATCACTATTATGCTTATTAATTGAATTACTAGGATAATAACAATAATCAACTCCAGCTGATATATCCATCTTCTGATGTAATTCAACTCCTTCATTATTAATATTATTACTGTCGTCGTGTTTAGCTATGGTGAATAATGTAGACTTGTCAGTATAACAACTTGATTGATTTGGAAGAGTTTGTTGTTGTGATGACGAATCACTTACTTTATTGTCATATTCATCTAGTGTGCATGATGAGGTTTCAATGCATCGTTCACGTTTAAATATACTTAAAGTACCTTTAGCTTTATTTTCATGTAAACTATATAAAAAAAAGAGAGAGAAAAAAAAAAGAAATTGAATTAGACAGTGTCTTGTTTTACTAAAACGTAAGGCAGACATTATTGTTATTTATTATTATGACAACCACATTATTGTTTCTTTGGGATAAAATGTGAAAACTCTGGTGGGGACTATGTGTGATATGCATATTACTGGGCTATACTGTCTTTCTACTTGAGAATCTCTCCTCACCTACCTGCATTC